ATACTCAGATGAGTTTAAATAGTGGTTCTATTCCTCCATGTCTGTGTGATGGATGAATTACTTCATTTCCCTCAATCACTATTTCTCCACCTGTATTTTGGACATGATAATGTTATAGTGGCTCATGGAAAATGAAATAAAAATATAAAGTTAAAAAAAGAGATGTGTTAGAGGTCAACTAAGTCCCAAAGTGCTGGGGTATTAAAGTGATTATTACAGTTTTCATCAAATTTTAATCAATATTCTACCCATTTACTTCTATGATTCTTTCCTCACTACATGCCCATCCTCCGTACAATGAACAGAAACTTCTACCACATCAGAACCTTTGTCTGTGTGTCTTGTTTTTCTGTCTCCATCACATTAATAGAACAGTAAAGGTAATTCTGTATTAATGAGTATTATTAGGGAATGCTATGCCATTATTTCAGAGACTTGTAAAAAAAAAAAAAGTAAAACAATGTGAGTTGTCATAAAACCTGCTTGATGCCTCTTTGCCTGTAGCAACACATCCTGAAACATTGTTGACCCATGCTTTCACCTGTTTTGAAGACTTTCCAGTTTTGAATCTGGGATGTTAGTACACCGGACCTCGATGTCGTATACACAGGACTGACCAAACCAGGTTGACGCACTTCCTTCCACAATGGCATTGACACCTGCGTTAGCCTTTAGTTTCCAGGATAGATTGTGTTTCAGGGGGATGGGAGATGACACTTCAGGCGCTGAAGAAAAAAAGGAACTGAAGTTTAGCCAAGAATTCACTGTGGAACAGCTGCTCTGGGGAATGGGAAATACAAGGTCAGTTCCCCTCCTCAATTAAACCTTAGTCAAGAAGCTACCTAATAATTATATGCATAGTATATAATAATAATTAATATCTGAAATATGAATTACTACAGAGGGCAAATTCCAGAACCAATGAAAACGTAGTCTTAATCCTAAAAAAGAATAGCATCATTTGGCAGTGTCTAGGAGTCCCCTGAGATCATCTTTTCAAGAACAAAATTAAGCCATGGAGAAGATAGCTGAAAAAGAATACCTAGGACCAGCAGACAGATTGACCTCAGTCTGGATCCTAGTTCTACTAGTTTGAACTGTGTGACTTTGAACAAGTTGTTTTAGGAACCTCAATTACTTTTTTGTAACGTGGGTATCATATCTCCCTCTAAAGAGGCTCTTGGAAGCATGATATGACCAGATGCCAGGATGGGCCCAGAAAATGAGTGGTTTCCTAAAGGACCTTCCTTGTCTTTTGCCTTTAAGCAGGATGGCTCATTAGCTACCTTGTCTGCACACCGCATAGGTTCTGGGAAGCAGCACCACTGAAAATACTGATTTTCACACTTCTCTGCCCCTTGGCTGACCATACCTGGGACTGGACAATTTGGTTCTAAGATTTGCAGGATGGAGTATCCAACTGGAGTATCTTCAGATTTCCAAAACAGTGACTGAGGATTCTTCTGCAGTATCTCAAACTGGCGGAACTTCATCGCATCTGACAGACATTTGACAGGATTCAGATCTCTTCCTTGAAGTTTCTTGACCACATCCTTGCAAACCCAGGCAAATGAGTAGGGCATGTTGCTAGTATCAGACAGAAGGCAGTGCAAAGTTTAGTTGAGAAAAGAAAGAGT